GCTTGTTAGAGCAACCGACTCCCATATAAAAAATCGCCGGTTCAGACCGAGTTGGGTGCAGCAGGACCGGTTGGTTACAGAAATAAACATGAGTCTGTGAGGAATAGAAGTAGAGTATCTTCAATTGATTAAAGTGTTGTTCAACATGTTCAGCTTACAAAAAACCTTCAGTAGACAAAAATCAGCTTTGAAAGTGGTCAAAATTTTGTGAATTTGCAAGAATTTAAGTCTATATCACACAGCCTCATTTTCATTTGTGTTAAATTGAATGTGGCAACTAATTTGACTAAGGTCTATGGCATCTGAACATCTTCTGCAAGTATGCAGTCAACAAACCAGCTATAACCGGTTTGACTACGAATAAAAAATCATTCCCAGATGAAGTAATGTTAGGGTGCTTGCTAGTTCTGCAAAATGTGCACTTTCTCGTAAGCTGCTTTGGTAAGCAAGTGTCCTTTCGGAACATAAATGTGAATGGGATGTAAACATAAAGCATAATATGTCATGCAAAGCAACAAAAATGCTGCTGGAATATGAAAGTCACAATCAAAACAAAGCAACAGAGATTTACTAAGATGTTTTTTTTATTAAAAATGATGCACCAAATGATCTGAAATGGAAAAATGTTCATCTAGAGATGTTTGTCAAAAGTATTATAATGTGTTTGTTTTTTGTAGATATAAATGGCATATAAAATCAATACAGTATAATAAATAATTCAGCCAACGCTTGAATGAATCTTTACCACCGCTATAATGCTACTAAATAGATTTGTTTCATCGAGTTCAAGTTTCTTTTACCATGAATCTCATCTTAAACCGCCCGTGAGTCAAATCAAGTTAGCATTAATTATCTCGCCAAATCCCCAAACTGCTCATTTATCTGGCCACACTGGAGTTAGACAATCGGTTCAACGATTCATGCTACAGTAGCAAAAGTTTCCTGCAAAGCAGAATTTGAGCTAGACCGGTATCCTTTCAGGTTCAAACACAGAAAAACTCCATAAACCAACAAAATAAGTAGCAATTCCAATGTGAGAGTTAATGCAAGTGGACTGAAGCATTTACAGCACATAACTAGCTTTTTTGGCTCAAAAATGCTCTCATGCATTCCAACCTTCATGAAAAAGTAAGAGTCCAAAATATGACAAAATGTTTTATATCAATATATTCTGTTGCGTGCATATATTGGCCAATTTATTCAAAATTACTAAAATTTTATAATACATTGTGCAATATATGCTATTATATTATATACAGTTTTTTTTATTTGACATATTACAGTACATTCCTAGCATTTTGGATATTCGTTTCGCTATTATTATCTTGAAGAAGGCTTTAAATAAAAATAAATAAATAAATGAACAACATTTTGATAATTAAATATCTGTATATCTTTTAGAAAGCACCATATTTGACAATTGCCAAGTGAAAAGGATCAAAAATACTTAAGATTAGCACATTTCTGACTGAATGAGATGATCAGTCACCTCTATCTAGCTATAACAGTGTGTTGTGACACACACAAATAGAATACCTAAATTTAACAAGTAGGTCTCATCTAATCTGGTTACTTGATTTACAAAGAAAACAATTACAGGTATGAACAATCAAGTCTGTAAAGCCATTCACCCGACGTACAAATGAACTCAATCATGGTTCAGAAATCTGAGCAGGTCTCACGGCATGACACTAAAGAAAATGTGTCAAGCTCAGAATCGCTAAAAGCTTAAAATGGTCAATGACTCTGACAATCAATCCCCTGACCCTCTTCCACAAAGATTGACCTCTTTGACGTCTGAAAGGTGCAAAGGAGCACTTAATGTGCTGGTCTGTCATGTATAAGCTAACATTACATCCTGACAAAATTTAAATCTTCACTGCATGGCTGCTGCAGCTTCCCAAATATCAAGTATGCTCCGCAGCTCAAAAGCGATGGTCGCTAACGCTCCGATGTTAATGAAGTATGAATGTAAATATCATTGATGACCCTCAAAATGCCACAGCAGACAGCAGAAAGGTACGGTCACATTAGCTAAATGTTAGCAAATTTTCCCAGGAAAATATTCTTTTCATTTATTATCAATGATGGTGATGAACAATCATTTCTTTCACTTCAAAACAAGCAAGTTCCTGTCAGTAAATGAGGCAAATCGCGTGATCATATAGAATTAAAATTCATATGGAATTAAAATGAATTTTTTTTTAGGTTTTTGTAGTTTTGTAGTAGGTAAACCTAAATGAATCATGATTTTGCTAATCAAATCATGGTATAACCATGTTATTTGTGGTCAGTGTTGTTATTCAAATGATGATCAACCAACCAAAAAACATGGTTACTACACCTTTAACATAGTAAAACCATAGTAATTTTCATAAAACAAACAATGTTAAATGTGACCGCACCTGAAAGCTTATCAGACAGATGCAGGATGGTGTTGAAATCCTAAAACATCCAATACTGAGGTGTTGAAAAAGGTAAATTGTGGTCACATTTGCGAAATTTCAGCAAATTTTAAAGACAAAAATATATTCAATTGTTTATTATCAATAGTGTAAAGTCACTTTCAAACCAAGCAGATTTCTGAAGAATCTGGATGATCCATCTTCACACAGAATTCCCAGTCGCTTATACAGCAATTTTCTCCCAAGTGATTTTTTTGATAATAAACAGTGGATGTTTTGTTTCTGAAATTTTGTTGAAATGACACTAATGTGACCGCACCAGTAAGCAGCAGCTATTATCTGCTGGAAGATCACATTAATGATGACATTAACAAAGTTCAGTCTGAAGACTTTTGATAGCACCTTACGTAGGCTGTTAAATGCCTATAATGTGGTGATTGGCCACTGGGAGGGGTTTTAGCCATAAACCACACACCTATAACCTCTTTAACCTGCAATTAGGAGGTCAAGGGTTTTTTCCTTCATATCTCTTTTTTATTCTGAATTCTTTCGCCAGGCTGAATAACCAGTACAGCGTTCAGCCATTCGATGCATCTTTAGACATTTTTTTTTTCAAATGTACAAACTGATTGCACATCTGTACAAGTGATATAAGACACAGAACATGCCACCTCTCGTCTGACGGCCATTACGTCCCCATTGGACAATGGCTAGCACACTAAAATGTACATTTGCCCAGGTATGTTTGTTCAGACAGTGAAAATACATGTCTTTCTGTAGAAAAAAAGCACCGTTGGATGATAGAAACACAATATAAACCTTTGGCCGCTGGGAATAGTCCTCTCATCCCAAAGAGATTTCTCCCCAAGGGATTTCACAGAGGGGGCTGGGTTGCCATTTCTGGTTTAACCGAAAAACAAACAAAACAAAAAAGGCTCGAAAATAGCCTACAAAGGCAGTAGATTAACTTCTTGTAATTTAAAGAAAACAATAAATGAACACAAGAGGAACAAGCATTTAGGAACCCTATTAAGGCTTATGTACTGTATGCCATTTTAAATATAAGGGGCATCGCATGTTGATGACAAAAATACTATAGTATATTATGGCACAAAGTCCTATCCTCCTCACAGTACAGTACACTTTATAATCTTATTGATTAAGGAAGCTGTAGTATTTTTGGCATCACTATAGTACGTTTTGAATAGAGCTAAAGGGGGTTGGCGTGAACTAAAAATGTCAGTTACATCATTCACCAAGGTTTTGCTTCAGTGCAAGTGTGTGTTACAAAGGATGTAGCAGCTACTGTTTATGAGTATATACATTATTGAAAATTGCATTGGAGTTATGTATTCAGATAAAAACCAAACTCACCGGTTCTGCTGCTTTAACAGATGAATTGTTGTGCTTTTTAATGAGTTTTTCCTTTTTCTATATAAATAGAACATTTACAATATGCTAAACACACACACACACAATCGTGTGCTGTGTATGTGTAACACCCTAACCTAACAGAAACTGCATCTTAAAAATCAAATAAACGTTAATTTTCTAATATATCTTACAAATTGATATGCTACAGTACCATTCAAAAGTCATTTGGGATCAGTAAAAAATAAATAAATATGATTTTATTCAGCATGGTTGTATTTGTTTAATCTTTCATAACAGTAAAGATGCTTATAATGTACAGGATTTCCATTTCAAATAAATGCTTTGTAACTTTCAATCACTGTTTCCACAAAAAAATTTGCAGAATAGTTGCAGCACAACCATTTTCAACCACAATTTTCTTATGATTTCTGAAGTATCTTGAGACACTGACTACGTTTACATTGGCATCAGTAATCAAATTATTTGCCTTAATTTTAATAAGACAATAACATGATTAAGATGTTTATATGAGTTGCTTTTTAAATGTTGCTTTCATGATCCTGTTTTACAGGTTATAGCACATAATCCGATTAATGTCATTGCATCAGCACGCTCTCCACATTTTCTCTGGAGTTTTGTGTAATTTCGGGTGTTTAATTTTTATTTTGTCAACTTTAACTGCAGTTTGGCACTTTTACTCTCATTCAGGAACATTTTATGCATGCCCCTCATGACAAACGAGATATTGGATGTGAGTGTGAACTGCGGGGGTTATTTAGATATAATTTGATACTGCATGCCCTATGGAAAAGAAAACTGAGATGCAGGTGTCTGTGGTCCTTGACTGACTTGGTAGGTGCAGAGAATAGTGTCAAACAGCCGTGTGTTTATAGACTATCCTGTCGCAACTTGCAGTGAAAATCCTACATGATGGTAATACCCTGCAGGCACAGGACGTCAACATGATGTCATATTGATGTTGTACCCCAACATCGTGGGCACTTTGGATTTTGTTTCAAAATTTTAATCGGGTTGACGTCAGAACCCAACGTCAATGTCCAACGTCCAACCTAAAGTCAACCTAAAATCAACCAAATATTAAAGTCAAATCATGTTACACCTTGATGTTGTGTGGACGTTACCACCATGACATCTATCAGACATTGGATTTTTGTCACTTTCCAACACAACCTAAAATCAACCAAATTTCAACATAATTTGATGTCGTTATTGGACGTCAAAATAAGGCTGTCCTTAGACGCTGGATAGTCATTGAATTTTGGTCACCTGACATCACGACCTAAATCAAAATGGAGTTAATGAATTAACAAAAGCTCAGTAGCGGGGCAACGCTTAAACCAATCAACTTCCCTCGTCTACTATTTAGAGGAAGTTTACCCTCCCTAAACCGTTTGTTTCAGATTCTCGCTCCCTCCCACCCAATTCCCCTCTAAACTCATCCACTCATCCCTCCCTATACCTCTTAACATCCCTCTCCTCTTCCACAGGCTGTATCGGGGGGTCTTCTAAAGGTTCCACCTTAACCTACGAGACAAAGCCCCCACTCTTGAGTCTCCCTGGACAAGACTCCCTGATCAGCCAGTTCAACAACCATCCATACTTCTCTTCTCAATCTCCATAACTCTTACCTACTTCTAAAACAACTCGTAATAAATGTTTAAGCAACCATTGTAGCGTGGTCCTTGATGGTGAACCTAATAGTAATGACTTATGTTGTTGTGTGCCTGCAGTGTAGTTTGATTAAAGTGTTTAGAGAACTGTACTGCACTTCAATAATGCGACTAAAATCGGCATATTTCACATAATCTTAATCCGATTTCTGACCTTAATCAGATTAAATGAATCAAAAATAGCTGTTTACATGGTAAACTCTTAATCAGAGTAGTGTCTTGATCATATTAAAATCGGACTATTGGTGTTTAAGTAAACATACTCACTGAATGGCTGTTGAAAATTCATCTTAATAAACTGTGCTATAAAATATACTAAATTAAAAGCAAACTTTTAAGTACATTAATGTTTCTGTAATTTCCTTTAATTAAATGAAGCCCTGGTGGGCACAAGGTTTCTTTTAAAAAGAAAAAAAATTTAAAAGACCCCAAAAGTTTGAAAAGTAGCGTGCGTATCATTTTAACTTTTGCAATTATATTGTAAATTTGAACTGTGCAATAATATGTCATTTTAAAAATCTGTAAGAATATTTGTAGTTATACTGTAACAGCACTGGGCTTTTGGTGGTGTTGAGGTATACCTGTAAGAACCCTGTGATCTACTGCAAATTATGGTTGAGTCTGTTGGCAGAAAGCTCGGCAACTGCACTCTTATAGAATACACCGTCTGATAAGAGCCACTAAATCCCAAAGATCAGATGTAGCTTAAAATATTTTCCTTTCAATCCGCTCAAAATGACCGTTCCTTTTGAATTTGAGGTAAAAGAACTGGAGCAAAACCTTGGATCGCATGCATTCAGAATAAGTGTAACATAACAGAGAAGATAAGTAAACCATTGGTGTTGGCTGTGGATGTGAAGACATTGGCTGGCTGAGCGAAGGTGGAAGGAGCTCAGATTTGGGGCGAGTGTGGCCTGTAGTCTCTTGGACTTCAGAGGAGAGTGGCGTGGTCTGGGTCTGCTGTGTCCATACTAGCCAAAATGGCTTTCTGGTCTTCTCGGGTTGGGCGACGGTACAGCAGAGCAGAGAAGCGGGCGTACGGGTCCTGGCGTGTTAACTTTTTCTTCTTCTTGCGGAGGTAGAGAGCTTCTTCTGGCTGGAGGACCTGAGAGGTGTGGGGCTGCTGGGTCTGAGAGGGGGGCACACCTAAACAGAGAATAAGATAGAAATTAGGAAATATGACTACATATTTCACATAGCAGTCAGACTCTCTGTAATTGGTTAAATGTGCTGTCTAAATGTCATATAAGGTTGAAGTCAGAATTATTAGCCCCCCTTTGAATTTTTTTTGCTTTTTTAAATATTTCCTAAATTATGTTAAACAGAGCAAGGATATTTTCACAGTATGTCTGATAATATTTTTACTTCTGGAGAAAGTCTTTTTTTGTTTATTTCGGCTAGAATAAAAGCAGTTTTTAATTTTTTAAAAACAATTTTAAGGTCAATTTTATTAACCCCTTTATGCTTTATATTTTTTGCTGGTCTACAGAATAAACCATCGTTATACAATAACTTGCCTAATTACCCTAACCTGCCTAGTTAACCTAATTAACCTAGTTACGCCTTTCATTGTCACTTTAGGATGTATAGAAGTGTCCTGAAAAATATCTAGTCAAATATAATTTATTGTCATCATGGCAAAGATAAAATAAATCAGTTATTAGAAATGAGTTATTAAAACTATTATGTTTAGAAATGTGTTAAAAAAAATCTTTCCGTTAAACAGAAATTGGGGAAAACATAAACAGGGGGCTGATAATTCAGTGGGACTATTAATTCTGACTTTAACTGCATGTCCTATTAAGCATTGTCACCACATTGGACCACTCCAGGCACATCGCCATGTCTGCCATCTTAGATCAGTTAATGTGCTGCCCCTCACAATAGTCTCTGGATGTAAATTATGCTGCAATTTAAATTGCCATACAAACAGCAGATATACTGTAGATGTTCATACATATGTGTATCTATTGCAGATGCACAGTCCATTTTCTTTCTTAAGAGTTCCCAAACTGGCTTTGATCAATCTAATACAGCTTAGCATTAGCTTCATAAAACTATATAGTGTTTAAAAGTTTGATGTCTTTGAAAGCCATCTCAAGGCTGTTTTATTAACTGTAAAAAAGTCATAATTTGTAATAATACAATTAATTATTTTATATTTTTAACAATTTTTTATTACCATGATGGCAAGGCTATATTTTATTTAACATTACCCTCATTAAGTATTTTAAAATGCTAACATGTCTTATTATATGAAATGTTTGAAAAAAAGTTGAGCAATTATATATAGCCAAGGAGGAAATCATTCATACGCCTGCCGTAGGATTTTTGTCTTTTTATTTTATTTTTGTGATGGCATTTTATCTTGGATTGAAGATTAAGTATTACTGTCTTTAAAAACTATAATGACCCCAAACAGTAATGTACATAACAAATAATATCATAACAAATAAGTCATTTATCAACTTAGTAAAAGCAAAAACTGACAGATGGCCTCATTCATGACCTCATCCACCTGCAATGAGTATATGCTTGTATTTGTACAGTTTAATGTTGTTACACTGTGAATCTCTTGGTAATAATAAAGGGGGTAATTTGGTTGTAAAAATACAGTATGTGGCACAGAGCATCAACAATACAAAGCCAGTGACCACTGATGTTTTAGAAAAAGGAATTACAGTGTTAAAGGAAGCACCACAATGTGGAGTACCATCATCAGGCTCTTTCTAAACACCAACTTTCAATGCTTGAAAAACATAAATGACATCTTTTTAAAGTACCCCATTACAGTATATCATTTTAAAAGCTCCAAATGTGCTTTTGAGATCTTCTGTAAAATAGGTTGTGTTGCTAAGGAGATCTCCTTTACAAGGTGTACATTCAAAATCACTTTAGTTTTCACATACACTACAGGATAAACTCTTTTTTTCACAGTGTCTGAAATGGTTTGTTCAAGGATCTGGGGTCTTATTTCTAAAACCTTGAGTAGAAACCTTTCTAAAATCTATGAACAGAAAAAATATATATTGACATTACTGATTATGGCTCATGTGATGATTTAAAGTGGTTCAATTAGGTCTACATTTAGGGTAAATATGCTTACTTGGTAAACATATCAAAGTGGGGGGTTCCCAAAGTGGGGGTCGGGATTTCCCAAAAATCTAATCAATATTTAATAAACTATTAGAATTGGCATATTTTATCCACAACTTAATGAAGAACATAATAGTAATTAATAGTTACTTTTAAAAAACAACATGCAAATAAAAAGCCATCAAGCTTTCATTTTTTTTTCCATTGGATTGCGACACCTGGGGTTATTATGTTAAACTTACCACATAGCAATAGCGTCGGATTCAGCAAATTAATTTTATGGCACCAGGTTAAACTTTCTGACACATTTATGGCACTCACGTACATTAAAAATAAATGTAGGCCACGACTAAACGTAGAGGACGGTCTATGAGTGGAGGTCACCAAAAGAACACCAAGAATAGATTTGGCCTATTGGTGTTCGAGCACCATAGAGTGCAAGGTTTTTATATTAATAACCACCTGCAGGATATAGGAGGTCACGAGTCACTGGCATTGCTTTTTCCCCCTAAGTAGAGTTTACTTAGAGCTGCACACATTCTCCCATCAAGTTTGTTTTTCATAGATCACAACTTTTACATGGGAAGCCTCTATTACAAGAAGTTGGGCCTCATCTGACCAGTTACAGCAGAATATACTCTTTAAAAGAGACACTTGAGTCTCATTTATAAATCTGGCCTATGCATGTTTTTGTCTCTTTTGTGAGTATGCCACATTCATATATGAGTCCCCTGGTCTCTCTAAACCAGTGGTGCTCAACCCTCTTCCTGGAGATCGACCTTCCTGCAAAGTTCAGCTCCAACCCTGATCAAACACACCTGAACCAATTAATTAGGACCTGAACAGCACTTGATAATTACAGGCAGGTGTGTTTGATATGGGTTGCAACTGAAATCTGCAAGAAGGTATCCAGGAACAGGGTTGGTCACGCCTGCTCTAAACCCCTCTTTTCATAGAGTTTACTCTGCTGTGATTGGTCAGATAAACCCCAAGCTCTTGTGATTACAGTATGTGTCAGAAACTTAACGTCCCATACACTGTCTGAATTCCAGCAAAAGAGACTTTACTTTCTCTGTACTTGTAAGCACAATGATATAAATAGCAATGATGTCATTGATTTGACCATATTGTATAGCCAGATTTCTGCGCATTTGGAGGTACATGCAAAGTTAGTGAAACAGTTTTGAACCAGTATAATCCTAACATGTCAAAATCCACAAAACAAACCTTTAAAGAGTACACCATTTTAGTGTCAAAGTTGCAGACCTTCTGCACAATCTGCTCCAAAATAGCACAACAGGGGCATTTTTGGAACACAGACCTGTTAGATTATCACTTCATTATTAAGTGACCTCCTTAAAAAGCATTTTAAGGCATCTTAGGTATTTTACCATCATGATGACCATGATGTTCCAAAAAAATATTCATTCATAGAACTAAACAACCCACTTGGTTTTAAAACAAAGCTTATTTGTATGAGGAAACTCACCTTAACTTTTACACAACAGACATATAGTATATCAATTGTGACTTGTTTCTCACCCGTCTTTCGTCTGGCCTTGGAGTTGTTATTGTTGATGCCAACTTTCTTGGCTTTTTTCACTCGTTGATATCTCAGTGCTTCTATCCTCTCAGACCCTGCAGAGCCACTTGGTGCACCTCGACGTTTTCTGTGCAGGAAGCAAAGAGAAGCAAAGCCATCACACAGGGCAAGAGTAGTGCGGTGGCTCGCCATGTGTGTTAAACTCCTCACATTAGTAATCACATGGCCTTGCTGTATTACTGTGGCTAGTGCAGGCCAACAGGCAACTACCATTAACCATGAATACACTCAAATGATCTGCATCAGGCATGGTTCAGTTTAGCGTGAAAACTATGATGCAAAAAATGCTTATTTGAGTGGAAAGAGAGGTATACTGTGAGTTTATGGTGTGTCCTTTCCCAAATAACAGTTATAATGCTTTAAAGAGCCCCTATTATGCATTAAAAAGGTCATATTTTGGTTTTGGGGGTCTCCAACAGTATGCTGATATGCATATGCAAGGTCAAAAAAAACTTTCATTGTCTTGTAATATACATTTGCTTTTACCTAATTATCTCAATGACTCCTGTATGATTTGTTAATTAATTAATTTGTTCCCGAACCCCTCCTTAAACTGCGCTCATTGGTCCGATGACCCAGTATACTGCAATTTGTCGACTGCGTTCAGTGTAAGACAGAAAGAAATGCCCACCACGGCTTATAAACTATTTTGAAGTAGTCAGAGTGTATGTGTAAGCCCAATGCAGAAGTGAATTAAAGCAGTGCAGTTTAACACCAGCATATTGCTCTACTCTTAACCATAAATAAAAACAGTGACACATATTCAGTATTAATCCACATGGTGGCAAAAGCTGAACTATTTTAAAACTTGACCGCCGCACATGTGTAGGAACAGCTGACGGTGGCCAGAGTAATGACAATCGGCAGTGAATCGTGAGCTCACAAATGCATTTAAATCCGTAATGAAGGGGCACGTGTCACGTTTTCAATGTCGATTTAGAAGCTATATGAGAATACAAAGGGTTAACCAGTTACAGTACAAGCGTTTACAAGTAACAAAACACAATTAAGTTTGTAAAGTTTAAACTGTAAAGTTTCTGTCAAGCTCTGACAAGACATCAATACATCAATAGTGCCATACATTCATAGTCTTTTCTGATCCTTCCTACAACAAACAGCCAGCAAATTCCCCATTGTACGTGTGTAGATTGCTGAAGCACTCATCAGAAAAATGAGGAAACACAGCACAAGGCTGGGGCTATAATGCTGAATAAACTTTAACCGCTGACTCTTCACAGCCTCATGCTTGGGTTAGGGAAAATAACACTAACTTTCCCTCAAACTTCAGAGCATAGTGTTTACGCGACTTGATTCAACCGGGATCTGCTACAATGTTTATCTTTCTCTTTTTCCTTCTACAGTGTTTGTGGGCAGAGCCGGGGGTTTTAATTTTCCTAGGTCTGTGTGCGCAACAAATAGGCGGGGCTCGAGTTCCGTATCGAAGTCACGCTAACACTGCTAACGATTCAATCAAACGACTATTCATTCGAACCACTATGAGTCAACCCTTTTATAGATGAATCAATAGTTTTCAACATGGAGCACTTTCAGATTTAATCCTTAGCTGGATATTTCACTTGTGTCACACACCACATAAAAGGTCATTTTCAAAAACCTATAATAGGGGCTCTTTAAGTGAAGGTTTTAATAAACATTTAAACAAATAAATAATGAGTGAAGTTACATACATAAGGAAGGCAAAATTGTAATACGTTATAATATATAATTAAGAAAAGAAATAGTTTTAAAATGTATACAGTACCTCAATATGGCAACATAATGTATGTATCTGTTTAAAGAGAAATTTTTAGAAGTCATGAAATAAGAAATACTATCTATAAAAACATTAGTATATAAAAAAATGTGTGTATGTATGGTCTTCCCATCCAAATACAGTATGGAGGCACTTAAACTGGCAGCCTGCATACTCTGCCCCAACACACACACTCGCGCACACACAATTTTCACGAGGCACGGTAAAATAACAGAAATAGCATTATAGAGGGGCCGTCCGTCTGTTGAGGCTGCCGAGAGAATTAAAGGCCATTAGTAGAGGGGGAAAATCACAGCTCAGCGACAAAGCATTGTCAGAAATGTGCTCATAGACATGAATACTGTCTACAATGGGCTTCACCATGCTGACAGGGGGAGAGATGGCGGGAGGGGAAAATGACTACTTGGGAACAGTCACATAATGAAAAATAAAACAAAGCACTTGGACAACAAATGTAACAAGAATTTAATCAGATATTTGTTGGTTTTTCAACTGAAGAGCAATATTTAGCAATGGCATGCATGGCATTTTGCACATGGAACAGAACTTTAAAGGGGAATACTCTGGAAGAGCACTTCATTGGGTGAAAGCTACAGTGTAAAAAGAAGCATTTTGTGGTGCAAATAGTAGTTTCCCCACTGTAAAAGAAGTGCAGGAACTGTTTTGGAAGAAAACTTGCTTCGCATGATTGTGAAATGTGTTCTGCAGTCTAAACCGAGTGCAGCTTTTTATACAATTACATGTTTCTGAACATGTGCTCACTACATCAATCATGATTAGAAAAAAGAGAGTTACTTCTTATCATACAAGGTGTAGGAAAACTTTTGCGGGTTATAAATCACTTGAATTGGTTTCAAGCAATAAAAAGCATCTACCTAAAATGAAATAAAACATGCAACTCTTGCTTGAGACGGTCCCTAACGGCTGGTTCCCTTTATCCAGGTCAAGCCAAAATTTTAATTCCCAGCAACTTCTGGTAGCGCTTGTTTTGTCATGTTTTAAACCTTAATTTAGGAGCACATTTATTACAAAAAAGAATACATTTGGAAAAAAATACAATGAAAAAAAACATTAACATCAGACAATGAGGAAAATGGCAGAATCTCAAAAAAACTAATATTCAAATTGGCTCACACATTGCGTCTCAAGCATGAGATTGTGCTGACCACATGATATGTGCTAGAGTTCTTATTTAATAAGTGGTTAAGGTGCATATGCATACTAAGACCAGAATGCATATAAGTTTCAAGACTGCAGAACTAAAATGTGTGGCTATCTGAAAATAAATCTTAAAAAAAAAAAAATACAACCAAAAAAGTAAATTTGTAATAAACAAAAGGAAAGCAAGACCAAAGACTTGTATTCCCCTTTAAAGGACGAGGTGAATAAAAGCCCCACCTGCTGCCCCCCCCTTTCAGACATGGATCCAACCCTTACCTATTGCGGTGTAGAGGACCTGGTCACAACAACGCTGCCCAGATAGCTGAGATCAATCAAAAACAAAGCAGATAAGACTCGAGGAGTCATCAAGAATGACCAAATGCCCTATTTGATGATGACGACATTGCAACAGATGAGAGCAAACAGTCCCTGCAACATGATTCGCCCAACAAGCCTCCCCCTGGCAGTCAGAGCTGGGGTGACCTGGGTGACAGGAGGCAGAAGAGAGGGGGGAGTGTGGAAAAGGCAATCATGCGGTCAGGTTACTTTGGAAAAGGAAAGGAGCACTGTGCCTGTTGTGCTGAACACCAACCTCAGCCTCCACATCATACACTCTGAGAGTCGTCCTAAAAAGCCTGGAGTTAGTCAAAACAGTGGGCTTCATTTGGACAGGGATTGGTCAATTTTATTGCGCATGTGGGGTTCCTCCTGTTGGGTGAAAGGCAGGGTAAAGCATGACAGTGGATGGAAAGGCTGAGATCCTGTGGTGGCGTCCCTCTGATTTCAGGCTTTTTAGGGGCTTCGTTATTGCATTTTAAATGAACTTAAAATGGAGCTTCTCCAGACACGTAGCCCTAAAAGGTCTGTCACCATGTCTGTGAAGCAAATAATTCATCAAGTCTTGACTTGGAATCCACAACCACTTTTAGTAAAGCTCACTCACTTTTTAATCTAAGACAAGTGCTTTAAAGTGCTTCACAGACCTTATGAATGAAATTTGATGTCTGACATGAAAGCAGAATCAGTGGCATAGAAAACTTTAGCACAACTTGTCTATGTAGAAAATGGTTTTGAATGGTTTTGAATAATGCAAGGCATCTGGGGCAGTGTTTCTATGAAAGCATGAGTTCATTACTAAGACCAGCTTAAGGCAAGCATCAAACACTTAAATTTAGCCCATATTAACAAGATGTAGTTTAAGACTAAGAATAAAATGTGTGCTCATTTCCGCACTGATATCCCCAAAGGGTCATAGATGTTACACTTAGGCCACATGGTACATGGCTTAGACCACACAATTCAGGCCTTGTGCACCTACCCTGAAGCTGATAACTGGGGTGGAGAGGGTTCTGATGGAAGGATCTCCTCCTCAGTCCTCCTCTGGGTTGGCATCTGCCCAAAAATGTTGCTGCTTTCTACAGGAGGTGAAGGGGACTGTGACGGATAGCTTGCCGCTGAGGTGGCAAATGCCATGTGGGATCGGTAGCTGGGACTTGCCCTTCGGCTGCCTTGGCCTTGAGCAGGAGAAGAGGAAGGGGAGGACCTCCTAGAGAAGCTAGCTGAAGAAGGAGGTTGAAGGGTGATCTCAGACATCTCAGGAGGAATCGGGGGTTGGATCATACTAGGACGGGGTCTGGGACGAACTACAATCTCTGGTGAGCCTTCGTGAGAGCTAATAGGGCTCTGAGTTAGAGGTGAGAGGCGGGATGGCTGGAGAACAACCATGCTGGGTTCCATCCTACGGGGCTGCCTGGGGCTAAGCCTGGGTGTAAGCTCGTACCATCTTGTGTCCAGGCTTCCGAACGAGCTTGGGCCAACCATGTGAGACACCGGGTCAGGGTAAGGCAATACCGGTACACCCATACCGTGGCTTGTGTGTCTTAGCTGCCCTAGACTCTGTGCCTCTTGCATAGGTAAACGCTTGGCTGGAAGGCCCTGAGGCTTGACCTTGCTGGGAGACTTGCCTGGGCGGCTCTTTGGGGCCTCCAGCTGCAGGATACCAGGGTAAGGAGAAACTTGAAGTGTGGAGGGCTGGAGGGCACTAGGAGGAAGAACAAGAGGGGGAGGAAGGGGAGGTTCCGGATGAAGATGCAAAGGGTGTGGTGGTGGGAAAATAAAGTGAGGACCCTCTATTGTAGCAAAGGTGAAATCTGGTCTCTGCCAGATGTCTGGAGAGCGCGAGGTGGAGGGGTGTGCCAAGGGAAGGGTGTAGCCAGAGACTGCATAATGCTGAATCTCACCCTCACCAATTTCCTCTGGTATGGTGGGATGACCAAAAGGCCCCTCTAGGTGGTATGGAGGAGAGGACATTACAGAGCTGAGAGGGCTGGTGTCTGGCATGTAGAAGGGAGGAGGAGGCTCAGGTTCTCCTGGACTTCCCAAATAGCTGTAGAACTGGCCATGGGTAAAGGCTCGGAAGTGAGGAGCACCACGGATCTGCCCTGTTGCCTGGAGCCGACTGGTCTCCATTATAGTCATGCCTTCCATGGGCCTCTGGAAGCGGGGACTGTAGGCTGGGGGCTGCAAGTAAGATTCTTGGCTAGATGAAATGGGGGAAATCTGATGGGGTCTGAGGGTAGCCATCACAGGTGGCATTGGCCCCGGATCATCATTCTCCTCATCTGACTGTCGAAATTCAGGATACAGGTCAGACTCCTCCACGAAGGGGAAGCCCTCAATGCGCCGTGCCTTTACTGGGGTTTCCATATCAGTTGGATCCATAACAAAGCGCCCATCTGGGCCACGACTGATCAATTCGATTGGTGTGGTAGCCTCCGCCTCATGCTTAGAGACACTGTATTTCTTGCTAATTATTGCTCTCTTGGTCTTCTTGTATAAGGAAAGCTCCTCCTTGGCAGGACTTTGAGGAAACTTCTTAGCTCGTAAACCATCCTCTGAAGACTCTGAAGGGGGTCCTATTGAGCGAATGCTTTCTGGACTAATCTTTCCAGATGATGACCTGTAACAATAGGAAAGAAAAAGAAAAAGGAACAAATGATCAATAATATCATGGTATTGTGCTCAGCATAATTGAGTACACCCCATTTTAAAATTTGTATCCATTTCTCAGTGAATATAGGCAATGTATTTTCATGCATTTAAACAAAACAGATTTATTAAACAGATATATTTATTAAAGTCATATTTTAGTCACTAAACATATTAAGAAATTGAAAGATAATACAATTAAATTCAAGCTAACTATTGCAAAAAAAAAAAAAAAAATACAACCTACAAAATTTCAACAAAATCTTTCACGTTTTTTTTTTTTCCTCTGGATTTTTCCTTAATTTTAAATTTGTATTTAATATTTCTCTATAACATATACATTTGGGTGAAGTCATTTTTGGGCTGTCATTGTTTGTTATTTTGTTAGATAATCTCCAGATTTGGTTTCAGTACTGACTAATCTAATGTATATGCACAACTATAATATTAGCTGCGTCCCAACTTGCATACTTTTGCACTATTCTACGCCATTTTGTGGTATAAATAGCGTAGGTAGTGCGTTCACACTAAAAACTCTAAAAAATAATAAGTGCACCTTAATTACCCGGATGATGCACTCATTCAGCTGGTAAAATGAAGTGTGTAATGATGGACACTTCACGCACTCAACAACTGCAGGTTTGCTCACGTAGCGGAAGAGGCGGAGCTATCGGGTGCATATGTTGGAGAACTTTATTTATTTTGGATGGTGAAAGCAAAATTTTCACTGCGAGAGTGACTATAGCGCCTCCCGATGGTGAATGCGGTTATATTCATGGCAGGTATTATTTGATAGTTTGGTCATTTACTGTATTTCTGATTTGGCAACCGTCAAATTTCAACAGGGAAACGGTTTGAATTTCTTGGTAGAAAAACATTGTGCTTCATTTGGGATGACACTACATACATATACTATGTTGTTAAATGTGTAAGTGCATAAGTACATAGTGTATGAGTGCATATATTGTACCATTTAAGATGCAGTTATTGTCTTCCTATTTAAAAAATGAATTTAAAAAATAGATTTGTGAGGGGAGTACTCATATATGCCGAGCACTGTAAGTACAGTTTTATATAAACACATGGCTTAGTGAAAAAAATCGGTGAGATTTTATGCTAAAAAGTTTATACGAATGTGTTAATATTTTTAGTCAGACGCAACATACTTCAAAAATAAATAATAAGCATGACATTATAATGTTTGATAATTATGTAAAGGCCTAGTTTTTTATGCTTCAGTTATAAATCTGTCTTTTTATTCAGTATGACAAAGTTTAACTGGAGCACTGAAAAAAGCTACAACAGGTAAGTCTGAAGTATAAAATGCAACATAATGTACATAAATATCATTAAAATAGTTTAATTATTGTTGATTGGTCACCTTAATAAGAGTTAATTGTAACTTATGATTTACAATTAGATATTTTTAGACATCTCAATGTTATTTTTCTATGAATACCTCTCTATAGCTCAATATAGTTCATAGGTGTTTTCTGCTTATTTATGCTTTGTTTGGTTATGCTTATGCTTGTTCTCTGCTCTGGTTTTGCTGTTTAAATCTGCAGTTTAAAAAAAATACTTTTATTTATTTTAAATTTTAGTAGTTAGAAGTTAAACATTAAATAAATTATATATATATATATATATATATATATATATATATATATATATATATATATATATATATATATATATATATATATATATATATACAGAAATAGATTCATACAGTAACAAAAATAATGACACCTTATTTCCAGGTAGAAAATAGAAAACACCCATAATTCATAACTGATTATTATTATTTTTATTATTATTATTATTATTATTAATATTATAGGTCTTAAAAATTAAAGTAGTACCCTGAAATTTACAAAAAAATAAAAAAATAGAATTGTATTAAATAATAATTTATTCATGTTTCAAATAAAAATATTGGTAAAACATCAAGGATTCAGTGTGTACTTTAGCTGTAATTATCATTATCACTTGATCATTTCATCAAGTCGTTGTCAAACTAAATGTTGTGATGAAAGATAATTAGGAATGCTGACAGAAAGTGGCTATTGGACCTTATGGAGGCCATCAAAATGAGTTGTTATTAATTTGTTTTGGTAAGTCTGTTGATGCTTGTTGTAGGGCCTTTGGGTGTCCAGAAATGCACCATTTATAAACATATGAATTATTATTATTATTAATATTTATTCATTTGTTTTCGCTTAGTCCCTTTATTAATCCGGGGTTGCCACAGCAGAATGAACCGCCATTATTGTTATGAATATTATTATTATTAAACCATAAGAAAGTCATTTTGTGCTTTAAATAAATTTGACTGCTGTCATTTTCACTCTTCTTTCTGGATTTATCTTGTCATAACTCATCCTTGTTAAGGCCTTATACTCTCCAGTCACCGCTGTTTGAAGATTTCCCCAAGAAATTAATATTGTGTGTCTTTCTCCTTGTTAGAGAACATACATCCAGCTAAACATTTCAGCTCTTATTAAACATAGATGGTGACATTTTTCCAAGAAAGACATTCAACTGAGAGTATCCATGTGACCAAACAACGAGAAATAACAAGCATAGCCCAGAAAAGAAAAGAGAAAATCAGCTAAATTCAGAGTTCAAATGTTTTATTCAGTAACAAATGTACATGTAATGGCTGAAGCTTTTGTTTTTGCTGAATCATTACAGCATGCACTTTCGCTTGTAATGGCTGCGGTGATGGCGCTTGGTTTCCATGGCAACTGCCTATTGATGACCACCGTTCAGGTGCAGTGACGTTATGCCTGCTTCAAGCAACAATACAGTGCACTAGCAAGCAGGCTTTTCCCCAGCCAAGCAGAGGCAGCACACAATACACACGCTTCACTCTTCAATGGTCCAAACATCTCACAATTGTTGTCATAATATACAATACTGTGAAAAATGAGCTAAACAGAAGAATACTGACCTGCAAGTAAACAAACAGTAAACATTTTTTTTAATAAAACCTTGGTAAAACATAAAGGATTTAGTGTGTACTTTAGCTGTAATTTTTGTTATCGCTTTATCATTTCATCAAGTCGTTGTCAAACTAAATGTTGTGATGAAAGATAACCAGCAGCGTTGGCAGAAAGATGTGCTTATAGAGGCCATCAAAATGAGTCGTCCCTATTCCGTAAGTCTTAACTTGACCTTCCATGCGAAGGTTTCTAGGAACTTCATTTAAAGACTCAACAAAACATACTCCTGTTGTTTTAAGTCACACGATTCAAAACCTTTCTGAATAAATTAAGCTGAGCATTCAAGAATGATTGTCAGGCATTACAATACCACAACTAATACAGTTTTTCTGGCACAGAATATCTCATTAAAAGCCCATTCTACTGTTACCACTCACTGTAAAAGCAACAAATCACAAAAAGTGCATAAACAATACCCGACAATACATCAAGATTTTGCAGAGTTGAGCGGTTATGTAAGTCAAATCCACTAGCAAAACAACAAATAGAAAAGGCAGGAACGCCAGTGGCTGCAGGTTAACCTCTGGTGTGCAAAGGTGTGTTGGTGAAATACAGGCAGTGGCTCAGATGCTTGGGAGGAAGAAATCTGAAACAAACATTATGAGGGGGATTAAGAAAGGGTGAACCTGTGTGCACCTTTATTTCAATAATACTGTACATTTTGTATCACACAAGAGTAGGATTATACAAGTTCACAACAGATAGATAGATAGATAGATAGATAGATAGATAGATAGATAGATAGATAGATAGATAGATAGATAGATAGATAGATAGATAGATAGATAGATAGATAGATAGATAGATAGATGATAGATAGATAGATAGATAGATAGATAGATAGATAGATAGATAGATAGATAGATAGATAGATAGATAGATAGATAGATAGATAGATAGATAGATAGATAGATAGATAGATAGATAGATAGATAGATAGATATTTTTTAAAGTGGACCTGTGGAGGGAAAATATTTGGCAGACAGGGAAGAGAAGCTGTCAAAGCCAGCAGCCAGCAATGTCATGGAGGATTAATGAGGAGTTTTATTAAAGGTATAGTTCACCCAAAAATGACAATGATCTCATCATTCACTCTCCTTCATGTGATTGTACCTTTATGAGTTTCTTTCTACAACATAAGATATTTTGAAGAATGGCATCCATCAACTTCCATAGTAGAAAAATAACATAGAAGTCAATGTGTGTACCAGTATGCTTCGGAATATCATCATTTGTGTTTGGTGGAAGAAAGAAACTCAAATAGGTTTTGAACAAGTGAAAGAAGTGGATTTGATGGCAGAATTTTCATTTTTGGGAGAACTATCCTTTCACCCAGTTTGATTCCGAGATGATTGTGCATTATTCAAAAATAAAATTATTATTTCAATAAAAAGCCATCTATGATATAAAGCTCGGCTGCTTGCTTTATTATGTTTAATGAATAGTGTCCATGACAAACTTGACCCAGTTCTGTGAGGAGGATTTCACAGCTTTTAAAGTGCTGCCTCATAATCAAAGTAAAGGAGCTGTGTCGCCCTCTGCAGGGCACAATAATAAAAAATAAAAAATAAAAGTTATGCTGTAATCCAGGATTGTCCAAACTCCGTCCTGGAGGGCCGGTGTCCAGCTGAGTTTAGCTCCAACTTGCTTCAACATACCTGTCAGGAAGTTCCTAGCATATCTAGTAAGAGCTTAATAATAATAATGTTTGATTAGGGTTGGAACTAAACTCTCCAGGACACCGGTTCTCCAGGACTGAGTTTGGACACCCCTGCTGTAATCAAATTAAAGGAAACCTCCAGGTTATTTTCAACCCAAGTCTATGGACTGCATGTTTGTTATTCTTAAAGTTACCACAAACATCACATACACAAAAGGTTATAAACAGAACAGGTAAATGGAAGCCTAGTGTTACAAAAGGCATAATACAGAGTGCGCAAACTCGGTCCTGGAGGGCCGGTGTCCT